GGACGGCGACAAGGGGCTCTACCGGGACCAGATGCTGAGGAACTACCGCGCGCTCGTGTCCCTGGGTAAGGCCCCGCGCGCCGGCCTGGCTCTGCCCCGCGGGGGGGGGGGTTACGTCTACGCGGCTTAAATGATCAGGTCCAACCGTCATCAACTCCTGCAAGACCATTTTGGGCGGGACGTCAGGGGAAACGGCTTGACGGTGTGAGCCGGGAGTGGGACGCGGAGATGTTGTATTCAACGCTTCGTATGGAAAAAAATATATTTTTACTGGAATAGTTGTGAAGCCGACGCACAACGGCGCGCACTGCCCTGACGCTGTTTGCTTAAATTTACGGGGGTGGGGAAATGAAGAGACTAAAAATTGTCAACACACTAATTTTAGCACACCCGGAGACCTGCGCGTGATACGGGCGGGGGCCGTGTCACAGCCAGTTAGGTGGACTCATAACTCGATTTTTGGTTTGGATTATTTATGTGAGTGTATTTGTCCTCCTGCTTACAAATCAAGGAAACGTTATATATACTCTCTCTCACGCTGCCTAGGGAAACATTCCTTACAACTTTGAAACTGCCAAGCTTGCCTAATATTGTATTGGCGTCCATGCATTGTTACTAATGAATTTTTAGAAATGAAAAATTTCCCACAGAGAAAAATAAAGAACTGGAAAATTTTCTGCCCCACATCTCTGACTTTTTAAAATCCTCCTCTGTTACATCCACTCCTTCTCTTGGGTCTTCCCCTCGGTCTAACTCCTGGAGCTTCCATTATCGGCAGTTATTTTGCAAGGTGATCTCTCCCTGCCCTCCCGGGACATCCACGCCGTCACCAACCATTGCTCATAAAGAGTCACCAGACCCCTACTTGGGAAATAGTTCTTACTTGTTCACTTTCTTACATACTGCACCTTGGCCAGATGTTTAACTGCTCTAGTCTGCATGTTTCAGTGGTGTCTCTTCCTTGTTCTTCTCTCCTTGATTTCTAACACACAAACTTGAAGGTCTTACCAGCTTTGGCTTCCCTGTATTTCAAAGTGTATGTGTATCAAGCTCTGTAGTATGATAGGAGTGCTACATAGCTCTGGCTTTGTTCTAACTTCCAGCTTTTCACCTTTAAATTAGGAATAGCTAGGCCAAGCTCTGCTTCGTTGTCCTGTTGCCGAGCATGGTCCTCTAGAGCAGGGATTCCCAAACTATGGTATGTGCGCACCCAGCGGTACGCGAGATATCACTGGGCAGTACGCAGGAGAAAATGTGTAATGGTGGGTTTAATTTTCATTATAGTAATTATTGGCTTTTAAGGGGGTAAAATATAAAATTCGTGCTGGTGGGGGTATGCATGCAGCTGGTTAAATCTGGAAGGAGGGTATGCAGTAAGAAAAGGTTTGGGGATCTCTGCTGTAAGGTATCCACCTGCCCTGGGCTGCAGAGCTTTTTCTCATAGAGAAAAGCAGGGCTGGAGGGGACTTCCAGATGTCATCTAGTCCAACTCCCTACCTGAGGCAGGATCATCCCTATCCAAACCATCCCATATGGATCCTTGACTAACCTAACCTCCAGCATGTTTGCAGTCCTTTACAGTTCATTTCATTTGCAAATTTGCTCAAAAAGCTCTTTATCGCAGCATCTAGTATGTTAACAAACACGGTTGAACAGCACTGGGCTCGGGGCAGACCGGGGCGGACTCCGCTCAAAGTTCCCTGCTGTCCCAGCATGGCTTCATCGATAATTACTCTATACTTGCAGCTATGGAGCAGTTGCTTATCCTTCCTATAGTAGCTTTGTCTAGCCCATGTTTTGCCAAATTGTGTATGAGAAGGTCATGTAGGACCTTCCTGAAATCCAGATACATAATATCCACAGCATTCCCTTCATCCACCCAGGTCGTTACTTTGTTAAAAATCAAGTTTCCTTGGAATGATTTGTTCTTAAGAGATCTATGCTCGCTACTCATTATCTGCCACTCCTCTTCCAGATGCTTGTAAATGGCCTTTCTTAAAATATACTCCAATAGTTCCCAGGTATTGAGGTGAGGCCAAGCAGTTTGCGGTTCCCCATGTCTTTCTTTATGCCTTTTTTTATTTTTTAAGAGGGGACTGATTGTCCTTTTTCCAGCCCTCTGGTACCCACAACTTTTTTTAATATTGTTGCCAAGGTCTTCTCTACCAGTTCCTTTAGTACCGTGGGATGAAGTTTGAATTCATATAATCCCATCAGAATCTCTCTGGCTGTCCCTCTTGTTTTCTCATCTCTCAGCTCATCTCCTTCCTTATCCACATAATCCTTCCTAGGTGTCTGGTTGCACATTACTTTGTTTTTGTGAACACTGAGGCAAAGTAGCTGTTGAGCAGCTCCGACTTCTTTGCATCTTCAGTTAAGAGTTTGCCATGGCTATTTAACGGTGCACCCACAGCTTCCTTGGTGTTTCTTTTCTGATCAACACACATTTTGTTGTCTTTAACTGCTGTTACCAAGCTTGCTTGCTTTTCCTGGCTTTTTTTTCCCTGTCTCTGCAGGTTCTTGCTTTTTCCTGGAACTTGTATTTTGCTTCCTTGGTCGCCTGCCCCTCTTCCATTGCCTGTAGGCTTTCCTTTTGATTTTGAGGCATCTTAGAAGCTTCTCGTGTAGCCCCATTGGTCTCTTACATTCTTCTTATGCTTCCATTATGTTGAAACAGCTTCTTGTTGGAGTCCAATACCGTCCCCTTTTAGAATCTCCCAGGCATCCTGGGCTCCTTCATCCTTAAGTCTTTTCTCCTGTGGCACTACGCCTACTATCTCCTTAGGTTGCTTGAAATCCACCTTTTTAAAATCCAGCTTCTTAATTCTTCTGACTTCATGCTTTTCCTATTTCAAAAACATGAATACTCTCATACTGTGATCACTTCCTCCCAGGTTTCCCCTCCCCAAGATCCAAGATAGATGATCCCCCAGTTGTATCCTCAGCTGTCTGCAACAAGAAGTTGTCCTCCACAAAGTTAGGAACTTGTTTAACATTGAATGTTTGGTTGTGAGATTCTTTCAGCAGGTGTCTGGAAAATTTCAAGTCTCCCTTCAATACGGTCTCATAATTTTTGGACAATTTTGTCACCCCCTTGAAGAGCATCTCATCCACCTTTCCTTTCCTGACTTGGTGATCTATAACTAGTCCCCACCATTATATCAGAACTGTACCTTTTCACTATTCATCTTCATACAGATATACTCCAATTTCTCATAAATTCATAGACACTAGGGCTGGAAGGGACCTTGGAAGATCATTGAGTCCAGCCTCCTGCCCGAGGCGCAGGAAAAACCTCTAACCTCTTCCTGAACTATGGAATAAGTATGTATATTTTGGATGTATAGGGTGATGCCACCACCTTTCCTTCCAGCCCTGCTTTCTGAAACAGTGTGTGTACCCCTCAATGCTGGCATTCTCATTACGAGTTGTGTCATCAAATCTGTCATGCCAGTGATTTTTTCACAGACTGTGACTTCCAGCTCATCTTGTTTGTTCCCCATACTCTTCACACTTGTATATCAGAAGTGTTTTGAATTTTGATTTACTTGTTTCCATCTTGTAGCGGGGAGTAACAAACGATCCCTCTTTGTGCACTTCCCCAAACAGGATACCAAGGTCCCACACCAGACTTAATCTGCCGCATCCAGCGAGGGGAAGTGGAGCTCTGGGCCCATGATGATGAGGACCCTGGAGAGAGTGCATTTTTTGAGGGCCTGTCCCCGGGTGAGTCCTGGTAATCCCTTTCTGCTCCCTTGCCTCCATCCCTTGTTATAAACTGCTTGTTACCAGAATTATGGGCAGAGCTGGAACTCTGCAGACCTGCTCTGAACTCTCACCCCAAGGTGCTGACCTCTGGTGGTTTACCCTCATCTATCTTGTCTATGCAGATGTGTGTTCACACTCCTTTGCATTTCAGTTATGTGGGTGTAGGTAACCATTCCTTTCCTCTACCTATAATTAGGGCTGTGGCAATGCCATTCCTTTCAGCAATGCCTCCTGTCACCTTCCTCTGAAAATTTGAGCCTCACACACCTTGGTGAGGGGGAAGGTATGTGTCATGGGAGGTAGGGCTCCCAACAGGGGAGTTTATACGGTGATAGGGCAAAAACTTTGCCTAATGTTTCAATATTAGAAACAAATCTGTTATTCCTAGGGTATTGTGGGCTGGAATTTCCATCTTTGCTCAGCAATGTAAGAGCTCCTACCCCATCCCAAGGTGGGCATATCTCTATAGTGCCATCCAGTAGACTATGATGGGACTTGTCTTGCCCCTTGGGAATTGTCATGGTGGGCAGCAGTTCTGGAAGCCAGTAGAGAGACTGGATCTCTCCTACCCAGTGCCATTGGTTCCTCCTGCTTAGTTGAAACTGGAGCTCCCCTCTGTAACAGACAGGAATAAAGGCAACGTTTAATCAGTGATTTGGGCTGCATACTAACACGGCTTCTGGGTATGGGTGAGATTCACAGACTCTCATGCCATGAAGGATAAACTCATGCTTCATCTCTGGTGGCTTTTGTGTCACAAGTCCTGGGCCCTGAGAACTAGAGTCTACATGCTGGTTAACACCAAGCCTTTTGTCCTGGTGCAGATTCCTCTGATATGGAAGACACCTGGGACTTGTCTGCAGAGGAAATTGCTGTGGACTCATTCCCCGGGCCAGACTCTTCCCAGCAAGCAGGTAGGAAACAAAGCTCTGCTTCTTCCAGAAAGGAGAGCTGGAGAACTGATTTTTAGGCCCTGCTTTTTAGCTGCAGGCCTTCCCTTCCCAGAACGTTTCCTTGAGGGACAAGGGCTGATGTAGTTTGCTTTTTCTTTCTAAGCACAACAACCCTTAAGGCTTGATTTAAACCACAGCAGTGGCCTGTCCCAGAAAGGGCCATGCTCTGCATGCACACACACATGCGCGCGTGCGCACACATTCCAGACCCAGAAGTTTGTCTTTGGCCTTGTCCACAGACATCATTCTCACAAGTGCCAGAGACATGGAGTTCAAGAATGAGCATTGGGGATGAGCTTTGAGCAGTATCACGGGTGAGCTTCTGGGGCTCAAGCATAGCTGGGACCTCGGATTAGAAGAGAAGTGTTCTGCACTGACTTCTCCTGTTCCTGCCATTGCTGTGGTATAGATGAGCCCTTGCAAAGCCTTACTCTTCCTTTAGGCAGATTCCTCGGGTCTCGCCCTCAATTGTATAGATAAGTTCTGTGAGCCCCTCTACAGATCCACCCCAATCTGTGCTATCACATACATCCCGTATGGGTCTTCTCCCTAGGCGTATGAGGTGATGTAGTTTTCCCACCCAAGCTGTCCCTGGATTTGGGGGAGAATCAGTGGGAATCTGGATCTGAAAAATTCACTAGAGCAGCATTTCTCAACCTGTGTCGTGACCCAAAAGGGGGTCTCAAGAATATACGAAAGGGTTGTGAACAAACTTTTAAAAATGGATTATCCTTTAAAGGAGAAAAATGTGGGAAGCCATGGCTTTTCCCTTGCAGGCTGGCAGAGCTCTGGCCTGCAAGGGGCTGCTTGGGGCTCCCATGTCCTATACACCCCCACACACTGAGGGGCTGGGGGCAGAGGCCAGTGGGTCAGGAGTGAGAGGCACTGTGGGACTGGCCATTGATGTTTACAGGTGGGTCCTGGTACAAAAAAGGTTGAGAAACCACTGCTCTAGAGAACACGAGCAGTGTACTGACCAGCCCCTCCACCCCCAGCATGGAACCACTTGGAATTGGACTTCTTGTTCTCACAAGTGCCAAGGCCAGGACCTGCTCTGTGTCCCATCCTAACCAAGGGATACAGCAGGGCTTTCCCTTTGCCAGCAGGACAGGGACTAATTTCTGTAATCCAACAGGTTTTGAGACGCTGAGCAGAGCTGAGCAGCAGTCTCTTGAGGAAGAGCCTGCAAACCTGGAACTGGTTTCAGCCACAAACCAGCTACCTGCACAGTGCGTTCAGAGAACAGCTGAGCCACAAATGAGCCCTGTGTATAAGGAAGAATTGAAAGAGCAGGGAAACCCAAGGAGCCCTGAGGGCAGCACTCACAGCGGGGAGGTGTCGTATATATGTGGAGAGTGTGGTGAGAGCTTCTGGGGCCAACAGGAACTGAGAGTGCACCGGGTGACCCACCAGCTGGAGTCTGGCCACCCCTGCGCTGTGTGTGGGAAGAGCTTCCGCTACAAATCACGTCTTGCCGAGCATCAGAGGACGCACTCGGGAGAGCACCCCCACCCCTGCCCGGACTGCGGGAAGCGCTTCGCCCGCCCATCCCACCTGCGCGTGCATCAGCGCGTGCACACGGGGGAGAAGCCGTACGGCTGCCCCGACTGCGAGAAGAGCTTCAACCACTTGTTCCACCTCCAGGTCCACCTGCGTGTGCACACTGGGGAGAAGCCGTACCACTGTGGGGAGTGTGGGAAGAGCTTCAACGACCCATCCTACTTCCGCGTGCACCAGCGCCTACACAGCGGGGAGCAGCCATATCAGTGCACAGTGTGCGGGAAAAGGTTCCGGCAGAGCTCTGCACTCGCCAAGCACCGACGTGTGCACCGCGCAGAGACGGCACAGCACTGTGCAGAGTGTGGGAAGAGTTTCACGGACCCATCTTACCTGTTGGTGCACCAGCGCCTGCACACGGGGGAGAGGCCACACCGCTGCGAACAGTGTGGGAAGAGCTTCAAAGACCCGTCCTACCTGCGCGTGCACCAGCGTCTGCACAGCGGGGAAAAGCCTCACTGCTGCCCCGACTGTGGGAGGAGCTTCAGCAACCCATCCCACCTGCGCGTACACCTGCGCCTGCACACTGGGGAGAAGCCATTCATCTGCACACAATGTGGCACAAGCTTCAGGCACAGGACCTCTCTCACTAGCCATGAGCGCACGCACACAGGGCAGAAGCCATACCCCTGCGCCACGTGTGGGCTGAGCTTCAGGACCAGCTCCTCTCTTACCAACCACCAGCGTGTGCACACTGGGGAGCAACCGTACCACTGCACTCAGTGCACGAAGAGCTTCAGGCATCGCTCTTCACTCACCAAGCACCAGCGAACCCATGGGTCGGACCCTCAGCATTCACACTGGTCAGCTTCTGTGAGCTCTTGCCTTGCCTCTTCCTCATAGTCTGCACTCTGAAGAGGGGGTGAGGGGAGGTCCATACCTCATGTGAAATGCTGCTACTTCCCCACTACAGGCTGGGTTTGCGTGGCTTTGGGAATGGGAGCATTTCCCCATAAATGGGTCGTGGTTGGAGTTACAAGCTGCATTTGGGATGGGGGGTGGGGCAAGTGGGCTTAGGCTTCTGCCACAGGAGCTCTGGTTTCTCCCACTAAGTTGCCCATGTTGCACTTAGTGATGCCCTTTAATGTTGCTGCTGGGCGTTGTCTGAGGTGGTGAAATTTAGGGGCTTTGGAATTCAGTGTTGTGTTTGTTGGGAGGAGGGGGAAGAGTTGGTTGTGCTTCTTGGAGAACGGTGACAGCAGCAGCCCCTCTGCAGAAAAGCGACTGCCGGACTGGAGGGGGCCTTGGGAAAAGATGGGGGAATCCCCCCTGAAGATGATGGGAGTTGGGACAACTATGAGTGTAGCGGTGAAGTTTAGAAAGGTTTCTCATATTGGGGTGAGTGGCAATTGGGCTGTGGTTGGGATGGGCTGGAACAGACCAACAATCCCCAGTCGACAGAGCAGCCTCCACAGCAGGTGCTTTTCTGGACCAATTGTTTCAGCTGGGAGGTGGGAATTTCCTCTCTACCTGGCCTAGCCACATTGGTAAAACCCCAGGCATTTTTACACGTACCTTTTCATGCAGAGAAGCACCGGAGATCCATACCTGCATGTGAGCTGATGTGCACTGCATCATATACAGTTGTGTAAGTGGCGAAATGTGCGTCAGCATGCAAAAGATGTCAGCGGTGCATTTTTAAACTAATGCACCTTCGATGTGCTTTATTTCAAAAGCACGCTGCCACCATTTTCTCAATGCTGCAGCACTGGAAAAGCGCCGGGCACTGCGGCGCAAGTTTTGTACAAATGTCCCCAGTGTCACAGCCCATCTTCCCCACTGCTGCCAGCACCCTGAACAGCCACCCAGTGCCCCACTTGGCTCTTCCCCACAGCCAGCTGTGCCTGAGCTCTGCCTCTTTCCCAGGCTCCAGGCCTGAGTATATGCAGGGAGGATGGGTGAGGCTAGAGCAGGAGTATAGCCCTTATGGCCTGCTGATCTAAGCAGGGTGGAGCAGTGTGCCTAGAATAGATGGGGAGTTAGGAGACACAAGGGGTTTTTTAGGAGCATGCTTCCGGACAGATGGAGGTTTGGGCAGGTCTGGATGATAGGGGGTCATGGAGGGGCTGCTAAGGTCAGGAAAGGTTATGGAGGGGAATGGGGTGGTGGTGTGGGGGAATCGCCTGCCTGTCCTTCACCACATTTATGGGAATGACCTCTTTGAAGCTTTTCCCTCATTTTTTTTCTTATCTTTGGCCCATGTCTCCAGTCTACATTTTTCTGACAGCTTCTGGGAAATGTTTTTGCTCTCTGTCGCCTTGCTTTTGCCCTGGCCAAAACCAGAAGCCTCCCGTTGTGACGAATTCATAGAATCATAGAAGTAGGGTCAGAAGGGACCTTGTAGATCTTCAAGTCCGACCCCCTACCTGGGCAGGAGGAAAACTGGGCTCAAACGGCCCCAGCCAGGTAGGCATCAAGCCTCTTCTTAAAGACCCTTGATGCCCTTGAATTCACAAACTCCATGCTGCCTGCCCCCAGAGGAAGGGGTAATTCAGTCATGCAAGGTTCAGTCCTAGAGCTGGTGGGACAGGACGCCTCTGGGAGGGGAACAGCAAAGGGTGGATCAGCAGTGAATTGTGCAGAGCTCTGCAAACTGTCTTCTAATTGTTCTGAATTTCCTCTTATGTATTTTGGATGTAAATCCTGAACTGGAAATGCTTGCAGGGAAACGATTTTTGGTTAACTAAAGGGGCCATTGATTTAAAAAAAGAAAGAAAAAATCTTTCCAGACAGAGTAACTGAAAATACTGAAAAAGGCTCTGACCAGAGAGGAAATAGTTCCTGAAAACTGAATTGAAAAGCAAACATCATAATGAAAACTAACCATGGATTTTTTGTGGGGGCTAGAAACCTCCGCCTAGGTGGCCCAAGTGGACTGTTTCCCATAGAAATGGGTGTGTATTTGGGTTTTTTTTGTCTTCAAACACTAAATTCTTAGATGAAGAAAAGTATTGGTCAGCTTTTTATTTTAAAATTCAAAGTGCTACCTGTGTCTCTAGGAGAGAAGGGGGCAGCCAAGGGGACGCAGAGTTGTCCCGACTGAGGAGTGAACTGGACCAGGGTGTAAATTGCTGGCCTGCAATTGCCCCTTCTCTAATCATGGCCACTTCTGCTCCTTTTCCGGCCCCGTGGCCCATGTAGGTGCCCCACCTCACAACCTGAAGCACAGGTGTTGCATGCAAACATGCTCAGATTCACTTGTAAACTTATGTCGTTAATAGAACAAAACTAGTGTGCTGACAGTACGTGCATGAATTGGCTACAGTGGCATCTTGGTATAAAAAGAAATCTCAGACGCACATTCTATAAAACTGTTTGAATCCCAATTCAGAATTTAAGCTGCCTATACATGTGTTTGGGGGTGGGGGTGTTTTATTTAGAGTGGTTCCTAGGTAGCCGCTCTAATTAAAATGCCTCACCATCGGGTGCATAAGCCCCTTCAGCTATGAAAATGGCCATGGGATGCTTTATCTAAACCAGCAGTTCCCAAACTCTGATAGATTGCACACCACCAATTTAAAATGCTACAACCTTAAGTGCCACCAGCAAATCTTTGTCATATACAATTATAACAAATCTGTTAATGTGTACCACTAGTGGTCCCCATACCACAGGATGGGATCTGCTGTTCTAAACCTCATTCAACAAACATTAGATAAAACACCCCACCAGCCACTTCTAAACCTTCAGTGGCTTATACATGTGACGATGAGGCCACGCTGGAGCATTGTGATTAGAAAGCAGAGCAGACTCGATTAGACTGCTCTGATGCGTTATAATTAAAACACGAACCAGCACATGTATTGGGCACCCTTAATGCTTGTATGGGTGGTTGTAGTTTTAAACTGCTGTGTTTTAACTGGCAAGTACTACTTGAATGTGTTTAGGTTTTAAGTATAAACGAGTGGTTCTCATCCTTATTAGACTTGAGGCACCCCTTGGAAAGTAGCAGCTCTTAGTTTTTCACTAATTATTTTACTATGGAAAAATAATTGAGCAGTTTTTTGTAGCAGAATTTGGGCCACAGCAGGGCAGAATGTTTTCATACTATGGATTCCTGTTTGAAATCTCTGGATTTATCTTCTGAATCATGTTTGCACACCTAATCATGGTAATGTTGCATGGTGCCCTGCGGCACCCCTGAGAGGATCTGAAGGCTCCCTAGAGTGATGCAGCACCCTGCTGGAGAATTGCTGATATAATCAAATGGTTCTGTGTTTGCAGGGTAGCTACTAGGTCTTTCTACGAAACTGTCACTTCTTGTGCTTGTCAGCCTTTATTAATCCTTTTGGTTTTATCTTCAGTTCATGAAAGTGATTTTGCATTTCATACAAGCCCTAAATTGACAGGTCTTAGCCCACCTGAATAGTTTTCTTCCATTTTTCCCCCTACAGTTAACCAAGAGGTAAGCAGCATTTGCTTCTCCTGTGATGCTAAGTTTGCCTTGCAACCCATTGTGAATCTGCAGTTGTGACTTATTTTGCACATGTGTGTGTGTGTGTGTATGTTGTGTATGCCACTTGTATCTTGATTTGTTGTAACAACCATTAATTGTGTGTGTAAAAAAAGAAATAAAATCACAGCAGTTAGTAATTACCATGCCATTTTAATGCTTTCTTTTTTTTTTTAAAAGATGCATGTAGTACATAATCTGACTGCAATGATGCTTTCCACACATTTCCAGAAGAAAGTCATTTAAAGATCCTGATTCCTTGTTAACAGAGTTGTGACTTAGGGAAGCAAATGAAAGGTGTTTGAGGTGCAAGAATCGCGAACTTCCCATTTGAGAAGGACAAGAGCTGGTGAAGAATGCATGGTTTGATTAAAACAGGCCTTAGACCTTCAGGTCGAAAGTGTTCATCTGAGAGTTGGTGTGAACACAGCGGTGGGCGCTGGGCAGGGCTGTCCTCCTGCACTGATGGGCAGCATCGTGCCAGGCTGCCTGGATCCTAGCATCAGCTTCTCCCTGCTAGCCACTTTGACACCTGCTGCCCCACTCCAACTTCTGTGCCAAGTATCACCTGTGGACCCCCCACCCTAAAGTAGCATTAACCCCTCTCTGGCCTTAAGGGCCCTTTTCTACTGTCTGCCCTCTTCTGCCTGTCCTAAGGGAACAGCACCATGCACCTGGGGGGCTACAGGAATGTCCTGCCCCGGACAAGCTGACACCAGCACCCAGCAGAACCGGACTGGCACTGGCTGAACATCCGTGGGGCTGTCAGACTTCTGATTGGGGTGGGGATTGGTCCAATAAAATAAAATGAAAATCTAACTGAACTTTTGGCTGAAGTAAGTTAACAATTACCTGCTGTCTGCACTTACCTTGTAAAATGTCTGCATGCCTTAAACAGCACCAGTGTGCTATTACACAGTAGTAAAGTGACTGGGCTGTTTAGGCTGTAAAAATATCTGCATGTAACAACTGAACTACTGTTCATAATCCTAGCAAGTAGGATTATGAAAATAAAGGCCACAACAGGCGCCTCCTTAGCCTACCTGCACCTGTGCCACATTGCTACAGGAAGGAGTATGTTCAAAAAGGGGAGGAAGGAGGACCCAGGTAACTATAGGCCTATTAGTCTTACCTCGGTCTTGGGGGAGCTGTTTGAGAAAATTATCCTGGAGCACAACTGCAAGGGACCAGTAGGGGAGATTATACTTAGGGGCAACCAACATGGGTTAATTCAAGGCAGGTCCTGTCAGACCAACCTGGTGACCTTCTACAGCCGGCTCACAAAATCCTTGGATGCAGGTGTTGCGGTGTACATAGTCTTTCTGGACTTCAGGAAGGCCTTCGACACTGTCTCTCACCCTGTTTTCATTAAAAAGTTAGGTGACTGGCATGGGCGCAAATTGGCTGGAGGTCCACACCCAGAGAGTGGTGGTGGACGGGTCTTTTTTGACCTGGAGGGATGTGGGCAGCGAGGTCCCCTAGCGCTCGGTCCTCGGGCCCGTACTGTTTAACATCATCAGCAACTTGGATGGGGGGTGAAAAGCACCTTGTTCAAATTCACAAATGACACTAAGATGTGGGGAGAGGTGGGCATGCTAGAAGGGAGGGACAGGCTACAACTAGATATGGACAGGTTACAGGGGGGCGTAGATGAGAACCGGATGGGATTCAATACTGACAAGTGCACGGTGCTGCACCTGGGGAGGAAGAACCAGCAGCACACCTACAGGCTGGGGGACTCCCTTCTTGTCAGTACAGAGGCAGAAAAGGATCTTGGAGGCATTATTGATTCCAAAATTAACATGGGCCGACAGTGTGGGGACATGGTCAGGAAGGTCAACCGCACCTTGTCATGCATCCACAGATGCATCTCAAGCAGGTCCAAAGAGGTGATCCTCCCCCTCTATGTGATACTGGTCAGGCCGCAGGTGGAGTACTGCATCCAGTTCTGGGCGCCGCACTTCAGGAGGGATGTGGACAACATGGAGAGTGTCCAGAGGAGGGCCACTCACATGATCAAGGGACAGCAGGGCAGGTCCTATGAGGAAAGGTTACGGGACCTGAACCTGTTCAGCCTCCACAAGAGAAGGCTGAGAGGGGATCTGGTGGCCATCTATAAAACTTACCAGGGGGAGCAGTGGGGAATGGGATAGTCTCTGTTCCCCCGAGTACTACCAGGAGTAACAAGGAATAACGGCCACAAGTTGACCAAGAGTAGATTCAGGCTGGACATCAGGAGGCGCTACTTCACAGTCAGGGCGGCTAGGATCTGGAACCAACTTCCAAGGGAAGTGGTGCTCAAGGTGGTGGCCCTAGACTTCAGGAGGGCCAACTTCAGTGAGATGAGGAGATTAGTGGGAGAGGAACTGGGGTCCTTGAGGGCAGAGGAACTCAGCGTCCAAGAGGAGTGGTCGTTCCTTAAGGAAACGATACTCGGGGCCCAAGGGGTGTCCATCCCGACAAGAAGCAAGGCGGGCAGGAGTGTCCAAAAGCCCCCCTGGCTCACCAAGGGTGTCCGGGAATGCCTGCTTGCCAAAAGGGTGGCGTACGCCCGGTGGAAGGGGGGTGTAATCTCCAAAGAGGAGTATACCTCCTCTGCTCGGGCCTGCAGGCGGGCTGTTAGGAAGGCCAAGGCGGAGATAGAGCTCGGATTAGCGTCCAGGATTAAGGATAACAAAAAGTCCTTTTTCAAATATATTGGGAGGATGAAGAAGGCGCCGGGTAATGTGGGGCCCCTGCAGGATATGCGGGGCAATCTGGTGGTTGCGTCAGAGGATAAAGCGGACCTCTTTAACCAATTCTTCACCTCCGTTTTCTTGTGCAGGGACCGGGACTTCCCTGCTGTGATAGAAGCCGGACGCGAGGGGATCGCCTTCAGACCTCAGGTTGGGGAGGACCGGGTTAGAGAGCTTCTGGAGGGGCTGGACGCGTTCAAGTCAGCGGGTCCGGATGCTCTCCACCCCAGGGTGCTGAGGGAGCTGGCTGGGGTTATTGCAGGGCCCCTGGCACGGCTCTACGAGCGATCGTGGTGCTTGGGCCAGGTGCCAGACGATTGGAAGGTAGCTAATGTGGTCCCCATCTTCAAAAAAGGGAAAAGGGAGGACCCGGGCAATTATAGGCCCGTCAGTCTTACCTCAATCCTGGGGAAGCTCTTTGAGAAGATCATCAAGGAGCACATTTGTGATGGGCCGGCATCCGAGATGATGCTCAGGGGCAATCAGCATGGATTTATTAGGGGGAGATCATGTCAGACCAACCTGATTGCCTTTTATGATCAGGTCACAAAGGCCATGGACGCAGGTGTCGCGGTGGATGTAGTCTTTCTGGACTTCAGCAAGGCCTTTGACACCGTCTCTCACCCCATCCTAATTAATAAACTAGGCGACTGTGGCATAGATGCCTACACAGTCAGATGGATTGCAGATTGGCTGAAGGGTCGCACTCAGAGGGTGGTGGTGGATGGATCATACTCGACTTGGGGGGAGGTGGGTAGTGGAGTCCCCCAGGGCTCGGTCCTGGGGCCTGCGCTGTTCAATTTCTTCATCAGCGATCTTGATGTTGGGGTGGAGAGCAACCTGTTTAAATTCGCTGATGACACCAAAATTTGGGGGGAGGTGAGCACGCTAGCAGGGAGAGAGAGATTGCAGAAGGATCTGGATAGGTTACAGGGGTGGGCAAACAGGAACAGGATGTGTTTCAATACGGACAAGTGCAGGGTGCTGCACTTGGGTAGTAGGAACCAGCAGCACACTTATACGATGGGGAACTCCCTACTTGAGAGCACGGAGGCGGAAAGGGATCTTGGTGTCATTATTGACTCCAAGATGAACATGGGCCGACAATGCGAGGTCATGGTTGGCAGGGCTAACCGGACCTTGTCGTGCATCCACAGGTGCATCTCGAGTAGAGCCAGGGAGGTGATCCTCCCCCTCTATGCGACGCTGGTCAGGCCGCAGCTGGAGTATTGTGTCCAGTTCTGTGCGCCCCATTTCAGGAGGGATGTGGACAACATGGAGAGGGTCCAGAGGAGGGCCACCCGCATGATCCGGGGACAACAGGGCAGACCCTACAGTGAGAGACTGCGGGACTTGAACCTATTCAGCCTCCACAAGAGAAGGCTGAGGGGGGACCTGGTGACCGTCTATAAACTCACTAGGGGGAACCAGAAGGGTTTGGGGGAGACGCTGTTTCCCCTAGCCCCCGCTGGCATAACAAGGAATAATGGGCACAAGTTGATGGAGAGGAGGTACAGATTGGACATCCGAAAAAACTACTTCACAGTCAGGGCGGCTAGGAGCTGGAACCAACTTCCAAGGGAGGTGGTGCTGGCCCCTACCCTGGGGATCTTTAAGAGGAGGCTGGATACTTACCTGGCTGGACTCATTTGAGTCCCGTTTTTTGTTTAGGGTTCTTTTGTTGTTCTCCCGCCCTGGCGGGGGGTCGGGCTAGAAGATCTATTAGGTCCCTTCCGACCCTGAAACTATGAAACTATGAAACTATGAAACCTTACCATCTACAAAACTATGAAACTATGCTTTAACTTCACAGCTAGGCTGCAGCCCAGGCTGGGGACTGAGACTAGGCTGTGCCAGTGCTCCTGCTGCGCCTTAAACCCAGAGGTTCCTGGCTAGAGGGACTTGCCCCTCCGGGCAGGGACAGACCAATGCCACGTTCAGGGTCAGGAAGGAATTGAGATAGACCAAGGGTTTTTTGCTTTCTCCTGTAGCAGGGCATGGGATTTTTAGGGCAGAAAGTCTTGTGGAAGGGAGAATTTACGTCTCCAGCCAATATTAGGTAGCTTTTCATTTCTGAGGCATGTAGGGCATCGATGCCGCATTCTCTGAGGGAAATTTTGGCATGTGTGAAAACCAGTGGTGAGTAGGTGTATGTGAAGATGGTGGAAAGTCTAAAACAAAATCAAATGGACTTAAGTCCAGGGTGCTGGATGCTCAGCCGCTTCCCCCACCGGCACTGTACCTAGACCCCCGGCGGTCCTGGGGAAACTTTTAGTATCAGGCCCCGCTTTGCCAGAGATAAAGATAATAATAATAATAAAAATTACCATTTTGGGGGCTTGAGCGGCTGCCTGGTTCACCCATGCCTGTGTCTGGCCCTGTCTCCCACACAAAGAACAGACTCCCGGGGACCCTTGAAGCTTAGCGCGGTGTAGGAAAGCAAGATCCTAAATCCTAACCCAGGCCTCTATTTACTATTCTGGGAACTGGGGCTATAGGAGGTGAGGGGAAACGAGGTAGGGGGCCAGATCAGGCTTTCTCACCCCTGGCCCTTCAGTGGAGCAGCAGCCACTGCAGCAGTCAATCCCCCCCAGCCAACCAAGGCCAGAGGTGCTGGTGGAGGCACATTTCCCTGCCAGCCCCTGGCCTGTTCCAGCAACTACTCCCTGCAGATTCGCGGGAGAAGGGGTTGGATTCAGCAGATTCCAGATTGGGAACGTGGGGTTCCCCTGCCCTTGCAGATCCCAGGCAGGCAGCCTGCCGTGTGCGGCTCTCCCCTCTTCCAGCAGATCCTGTAAATCCCTGGAAGCTGCTACTCCTGGCTCTGCTGGGATCAGGATGACAAGGGTTTTGTCCTCTCTCTGCTGCTTAGTGTCAGAAACCTGCAGTCACACAAGGGGCAAAGAGGTCAGCAAGGAACGAAGGAAACCATTGCAGGAGCTTGGGGAAGAAAAACAGGAGAAAAAGAAAAGACTGCGGAGAGCCACCTGCGGAGGTGGAAACCCTCCTGCCTGCTTTGGAGGGAGGAGGACAGGGTGGGTGGGAGAACAGCGAGGGACACGCTGCTGCCCAGGAGGCTGGCCT